TCATTAATTTAATAAGAGCAAGGATCATTCCTTTCTCTTTTTCTGTCATTTGGGTTCGTGGCATTATCAAAAGAATGGTGGTTTTTTTTTTTTTGAACTAGGTATTTAGACGTCAAAAAAGTAAAAAAAAAAATTTGCCCCAAATTACGTAAGAATGGGATAAACACAGCCATTTTATTTGCTTATAGGAGATGATCTGCAAATCGGGCATTACTTTTGGTGGCTACTGTACATACTACTAAAACATGTGCTACTCAAATCTGCCGTATTAATAAGAATAGATGAGAATTCCTTTAATTATATGATGAAATCATCATAGTTATACATCTGGCGAGTAGCCAAAGAAATAAAAGCATAATTCTTAGTTGATAGCAGTTCTGCTCATGAAAATATAAGCTGATATATTTAATTCATTGCAATTGAATTTTTAGCTCCATATCTAATAGTACTTGTTTTTCTAGTATATTATTCATGTGTTTTTTAAAATTGTTTTTTCTCTTTTTTTTAAAGCTATATTTTTAATGTAGTTTATTTTGTTTCTAAACCAATTCAACTATTAAAACTGCTTAAATACTAATAATTTGACTAATTATTTCAAAACTAATCAAATAGATCCTTTTATAATATTCGATCAACTTGCTTATCAAGATTATACCTTTAACATAATTTATTATTTTTATGAATATAAAATCAATACTAATATTTAAATCATATGATATTTGTAGTGCAAAAAAAATAGAAACATGCTATTAATAAAACTTTTTACAGTTACAATTAATTTTTATAAAATTTTTGTAGTTAATAAATTAGAATATGCTCTTTATAGTTGTATAAATTTTAATAGCTAAAATATTTTAAAAAAATATACTTGTATATATTGCAAAGTTTTTCGGGGCTACCCCAAATTCTCTGGGGTTATACAAAATCATTGATTTTGATTGATTCATATCATATGATCATCATATGATCATTATATGAAAAAAATAATACCTAATCTTTAAATATATCTATCTTGATGAATACTCAACCAATTTTAATAATTTTACTACCATTAGAATCAGAAGAACTATTCTACAACTTTTATTTAAATTTTAATCATATATTAATTAATAAATATTTGAGTAACATAGCGATGCCACAAAAATTTGTTGGTTCTGTGATTTCTGAGCCAATTGGACCAAAATCAGGCCGGGTGCTCATGTCGATTTTAATATCAACAGCAGATCTTCGAAATTAGATCTTTAAATTACAAAATATCGATAAATATATCTTCGAAATTAACATGTAATATATTTTAAATTGAATGTCAATAACGTCAAAATTAAATGAGTAGAAATGCGAAATAACATTATTTTTCAAAATTTAATTGAAATTAAATATGTGAATCAGTCAATATTTGAAATTAAAAATTAAATTGCACAATATCTTCGAAATTAATAAGTTGCAAAGTGCGTATGCCATATTTTTAAAATTAAATTAAATATTATGTCTTTAAATTTAAATATGTAAATTACAAGATTAATATGCTATTCATCAAAATTAAATATGTAAATTGTGAAATAAATATGTAATATCCCCAAAATTAAGTTCGTAATTGCAAAATAAATATATTAAAATTAAAATTGTAGTTAATTAAATGAAAATTAAATGAATAAATTGCGAAATGATTATGTAATATCTTCAAAATTAAATTCGTAAATATATCTTCAAAATTAAATGCAATAATAATCAGTTTTTGAAATTATATATATCGATGCCCTTAATAAAACAGAACATATTTTTTGGAAGCCATAATATAATTTGAACTTACTCTATTAGAAAAACCGTTAATATTAAATTGCATAGCTAAAATCGCAAATCTCTTAAACTATTTGTCTTCATCATAGCTTTATCTTTGCAATAGATATATATCTCTATCAAACCCTTGCCTTCAATTTAACTTAACTTTTGCCATTCTTATATAAATTATTCACCTTTTCATCGCTACACACTTTAATCCATCCTATTAGTAACTATTTTTCCTGTAGTCACACTATCTAACTACATTGCTATTCTTTTTTAATTTTGACCTTTGATCTTTGTTAATATAATTATAAAGCGCTTATTAGATTATACATACCTCTTTATTTGAATTCAGAGAATATAAGCTATCTAAAAAATATAATGGCTTCTTCTGAGAATGAAAAAAGATGTTCATGTTGTGATAAAAAAAAAACTTTGCTGATTTTATTCACCAAAGTAGAGGTAAACCAAAAAGCACATGTAACAGCTGTGCAGAAATTAGAAAAGGAAAAAAAACTCAAACAATTAGTGAATTAACAAGCACTCAAGTAGCCAATGATGATGATGATAATATAGAAATTATAAGCAACAATGATGAGGATGAGACTTGGTTTAGTTTAATGGATATGGAAAACCTAATATCTAACTGTTTTGAAAGTCCAGAAAAAAGCGGTTGTGTGTATTTTTCAGGAATTTTAAAGTTTGGTGATGATTTTATTAATGATATATTAAAGAAAATGATAAAGAAAGAACATACCATAATATAGCAACATCTCTTCTCTTAATTATTGAAGCCAGATCTCACTACTACTAGAAAATAAAGAAAATATATTCTTATAAAAAAAAAGATTAGTTAACTGAAGAAGCAGTAGTGTATATTTATTGTACAAAAGAGAAGAATGAAAACGTTCACATCCTGAAAGTCAACCAGCAAAAAGAATAAGTAAAGCAAGCCCTCCAATTAATCAGTATTTATGTGGTGGAAATGGTAAAATTAATATTGATATTAATAAAAATCAAGCAACTGTAAAAATTGAATATTAATTGCTCATGCATATTCTACTTATCATGAGAATAACTTATCACCAAATGCTATATCCTGGATATCTCGAAACATAAATAAAAATCTTCAAAAAATAGAATTTTATAAGAGGTTGTGTAAAGAAAAACTTATTAATTCGAATATATATACTTACCAGCAAATATACTATTGGGTCTCAAAATTTTCTGCCCAGCTATACATTACAAACTTTGACAATCAACTCCTTTCAGCTCGCAACTTCTTAGAACAAAATAATCTTGTTGATCAAGGATACAAAGTTTTATTATATATTGACAATGACCTTGTCAAAGCTCTCAGATTTACTATACCTTTTCTTCATTATATACGTATCAAATAAGGATATTAGTGAAATTATTTTAGACTCGATATTTAAAACTAATAAAAAAAAATTTGAACTTTTTTCTATCTTGAACAATTATGATGGATTCGGTATACCACTTGCATATTTATATGTTCATACTTTTTCAGCACTAGCAGAATGTCTACAGAATCCAAAAAATAATATTCACTCACAGGTATTAGTATTAAAGGAATTTTTTTCTTTGCTAAAAGCAAAAGGAATTCAACCTATATTTGTTCTTACAGATAAGGATGCTGGTGAAATAGCAGCTATAGAAATGGCTTGGTCTCAAATAGTAAAAATACAGATTTGCCTGTGGCATATGGAATGTGCTGTTAAAAGAAAATTAAAGGAAAAAAAGGTTAAAACTAGCCAGTACACATTGCAAGCAGCAAATAATGCTAAACAACAATTTGATTTTATTGATGAACTTTGGATATCTAATGAACAGGAGAGTGCTATATGTTCTGAAAAAAACAAAGTTGAAATTTTAAAGATGATTAAAAAGCATGCACTATTGCATCCACTAATTCTAATTAAAAATGGAATATTTCTTACCTCAGATGAAATTTATTATCATAGTATCCGTAAAATATATGAATACTGTAAAAAAAAAAAAATCTGATTTATTTGTGGGGATATTTATAGGTTAACTGGTACAAAAAAAATTATTGGAACCTTTTTGCTCGGGCTTCTTACTCTAATGCATTACCATTAGCTAGAACTACTATGCTAGTGGAATCACATTGGCATACTCTAAAAAGTAATTATAAATATAGCTCCAATGACCTCGTCTAGATCGCTTAACACAGCTTATAAACAAAAACTAGTTCCAGACCAAATATATAAATGGAGTAGATTTAGTAATAACCATGAATTTCCATCATAGTAGAAGGCATTTAGAGAAGAATGGAAAACTGCTTTGGAGAAGGAAGTTTGTATAGAGAACAAATATTTGACTGATATTAACAAATGGGTTTGTTCATGTCTTGCATTTCTTAAAAACAATTACATGTCATGCAAACATCTTGTTAAAAACTATACTATTGTATATCCAAATTCTTTTCCTCAATTCAAAACTACAAACGAAGACATGACTATCCTTTTATCTATTTTGGCAAAGAAAAGATTCCAAATATTAACCCAATTAATAATCCCTGGAACAATGAGATTTCTGAAAATTTTTTAGATCAACCTAAACATATCGAAAATGATATTAATATAGAATTAACTATTCAAAGCCAATATGAGTTAATCAAATTTAGAAAAGCTGAGCTAGAAGAAGATAAAAAGATTTTTAAATCTTTATTAGATATTGTTTTAGATAATATTGAGAATGATCACTTTTACAATGCATACCAAAAACTTAAACAACCCTTAGTTACTGAAACAAACACCTGTCAAGAAGCCTTAAGAGCAAGAAGTCAACAACAAACTTGGAAGCCTCCTCGTGGCTCAAAGCTCGCATTTTAGCTACAATAAATAGTTTTTGTACTCTTCAATATATGTTAGAAACATTTATTTATAAATTTTTTAAATATGTATATTCTTAATGTATAGCAATATAAAAAATAAAAAACTTTACTTGTAATAAGTTCCAATAACGATAACAAGAAGATCATCTCAAAGATGAGATCTAATCGGATCAACGTTTTAGTACCGATTAGCTCGGAGATCACAGGACCGACAAATTTTTGTGGCATCACTATGTTACTCAAATATTTTTTTTATTTTCAAAAGAAAAAAATTTTACCACTGAGATCATATAAAAAATGGTCGACATGCCCTCTACCCTTAAATGAATTTTGGGATTAAATATAATTATGTTATATTACAAAGCAAATCACCTTATAACGACCTTCAGATGAAGAGGAATCAATGAATAATTATTCGAATAACGATCAATTTATTAATAAAATAAATTTCATAAATTTTGGCTTAATAAATTTTTCAAATTGGCATTAATTAAAAATATGGAATTTGACTTAGTCTTGAATAAAGATAACGCATTATTCTCATAGTTCTCTTTTAATAATGAAGGCGAATTAATATTTCGAATTGTCATGACTAATAAAAATGAAAACAAGTTCACCGTAAAGGATTTATTAAATCTGTCTTTTCATTAAGCTTCAAAGTCAAATTGATAATGAACTGCAAATATCCTTGCTTTACCAAGCTCAATTTCGAAGCAGATCCCGTGATGTGGTGGTGGTCTTTACAAAATAGTAATTTCCGATTTTGAATGAATTCCTGCAATAAACATATCAAGTGACGCTTATTTTCAGACACAAATGTTATGAGTGTGAAAAAAAAACATTATCAAATCCAAAACAATCTGATAGGGTGATATTTTAAAGCATAATGTGAAGAAATTAATTTTATTAGTGTATTTTTAATACATGGTTGTTTCTATAAATGTTCATTAACAAAAATCATAAGTCATTCATTAATTATAAATTGAATAATTTAATAGTATAATTGAAAATTTTAATGTTACGATACATGTATATATATATATATACTTTAAAAAACTTGATGGACATTCGAACACCCGGTCAAATTTTTCAGCGATGCTCGAAACTCTAAAGTTTATACCCTGGTCACTATATCAAGATCGTAGGGTATAAATCAGTTATACACTAAGTTCTATGTGTTTAAGCAGAAATTTCATTTCCATGCACCCAGTGTATAACTATTCCTGTAGACGCATTTATACCTATTTTCCGAAAAAAACTATGCATTTTGCCAATCTCTTAATATTGTAATTACCTAATTCCTGAAAAATCTGCAGATTGATCTGCCAAACTTAGTTTTTGTTTACAGACGTAAATCAATGTTACGCAACATGATTTCAAACTCATAACATACGTACGTAATACAGTAATAAGCACTTACTTCTTTATAAAATCTCGGAGTAATAAAAAATCATTCAAGTTGGTTGGACCTTTGAAACAATCAGTTAAACGGATAATTAACATGTCATTCTGAAACAAAGATAATTAGAAGAATTAATGTTATTCACGGTGTTCTGGGTCAGAGTATCCTATTACAAAATAAATATTTTTGCATAAATACTTTTTTGTATGAAAAACTGATAATCGTTAAAAAAAAATATCTATATAAAATGTTTGAATTCACTTGGATTTAGCCTTTTTGATTATATGTATTTCAAAAATAAACTTTTGTTTTAAAGAGAACAATAGTCCTTTTTCATTTGATGACTATCATCAGATATTAATTCACACGAACATGCTATAATTTCAACTACAAACTTAAAATGATAATTTAAGCCTACACTTTCACTAATTTTATAAAGTTTACAAAATTAACTTCATACCATTTATTGTTACAAGGAAATTTATTATTTTATATTGGTTACTATTTCAATACTGCACTGGGTTCTATGTGTGGAAATTTCATTTCCGCTTATACCTATTACACCTCGTGTATAGCTATTACGACATATCGGCGGATTTGTGGAATTGGGTCTAATTTAGTATTCCTGGATTTAACAGGAGCAGGATGCATAACGATAATAGTTGAAATTTTGGGTCTGTTTTATAATCACATTGTTAAAATATATAGACCCAATTTAGGCTCAATTCCTCAAATTCTCTGATAAGAGGTTTTGAAAGTTACAGTGCTCACTTTATCATTATGTTGTACATATAACACGATGAAAATTTACGTATGTAAGTATTGCACATTCTTTTTGGTATGATTTCGATAAGTTACGATGAAGAGCGAAGCTTTGAACCTTGCGCCCATGTTCTGCTGGTGATATATTAGGCCGCCGACCCATTTTGGTTCTACTAGTGGACTTTTCTAGTAATAATAATCAAGCTAATAAATGATCTCACAAATATTATGCACTTAGCATATGCAAAAGTTTAAATAGCGTAAGCAGCTACCTATGATTATTACCTATACTTAAGAGTGAAACTCAATATTTTCCTTAAGAAAACTAGTTTTCTTTGCAAAATTTTAGTTTTTTAAAGATCATATCAAAAATCTTACAAAAAATTAAAAAATCTCGCAGATAATGAGCAGGATCATACACGGATACGTGTTGTATCTATCACCAGTCGGGTAATTACTTCAGGTAACAATAGCATTCACTACAATAACTTTAACTCACGACACTACAGTCAAAAAAGCGTCAATCTCGAACACGATAATTAAGACGAAGAACTTTCAGGCTAGAAATAATAAGTTATACTTATATATTTTTACAAACGGTATTTTTAAGACTGATAATATTTATAGTATAGAAAGCTAATACACCGAAAATACTAATAAGACCAATAAGTATTATCTGAGCATTTACCTGAACGTCTTTTCAACTAATAGGACTATTCTGACAAGTCCTTTCTATCTGCTCTTTCGAATTGCTCAGAACTGCAGACCTTCCAGACCATTCCAATAATTCAGACTGAGGATATAAATGAGGTAAAAAAGATTGAACTGAAAATATTTACATAGGTATCGCACTACTTAGGCCGATGATCTAAACTTTTAATTGAAGTTTAGATCTAGCCAATGATCGGTTCTACCACTAAATCCCAACATCCAAAAATCCCGTCAGGTTAAAATCCCGAAAATACTAAAATCCTAACATGAAATCAGAATTTTAGTATTGTCGGGATTTAACTTGTCAGGATTTTGATTTTCGGGATTTTGAGTGTCGGGATTTTGGATGCTAGGATTCTGTGGTAGACCACAATGATCACAGGAAAACATTAAACCTTTTAAACATGTATTCTTCAAAAATCTTTGGTGCAATATGCGACCTTTCTAAATATCTTCTAAACATTTTCCGACCGTTTAAAAAGATATTCGGCAAGAATTTAGATAATATATTACATCAAAATTTTTTGAAAGAATACTTGTAAAAAGGTTTATTGTTCTACCTGTGGATACTAGTTGATTGTATTATAGAAAATTATTATTCAGGAAATTTTACTTAGTATGTGAGCTACTGGCTTATTGGTAGAGTTTTAAGCGTTTTTAGGCAAGATTTACTATTACTATCCGAAATTTTGGTCGATGCTCTGAATTTTGGTTGCGCAATTAATCTATTCCATTTTTTTGTATGGTGACATTGAAATAGGTCACTTCGATCATCGGGGCAAGTTCACAATTTGGCACGTGTCAGATTTTATGCGCACCATATAATATCACTTTTGTTTATTGCTAGTTTTATCCAATCAGAAAATCCAATAACGAAATGTAAAGCAATGACAGTAAATATGAATGACCAAGAGACAATTAATAGTAAGAATAATATATTGCGATATTATGTTAAAAGGCCGATTGATTTTATTCTTATAAAATTTCAAACTCTACAAAATAGAATAACATAAGAAAATAAAAAAGCATAGCATTAACTAAAAACCAGTTTTAAAAAAAACCAGACAAGTGTTGCAGAGTACATAAATTTTTTATGGTACAAATTGCCACAAGTATTAAGCTATCTAATATTTCTACAAAAGATAAAGGATATATATATGGTGTATATCGAATAATATCTGCGTCAGATAATATATATTATTATAATCCCACCCTTACCCTAACATTGGTTCCCATCCTAACTTTGATCTGATGCAATTTTTAATCCGACTCACGACATAGCAATGATATCAAGCAAGATATGCTATGCATTAATATTACCAAAAACTCGATCAAAGAATTGACTGGATTAGTCGAGATTAAAAAGGGTATCGGAACTAAAATATAACTGCGTTACACTCTGAGCCGTAAGCTCTAGAGAATGTGACTCACGATCTTGTTCTAATTCGACGAGATAATCAAAGTTATATTCAAGGTTATCACAAGACGCAAAAGTTTGTTTATTATTAGAGATTAAAAAAGGTACAGAAGTTTTTTGAGTAGGTTGTTCTCTAATGGAGTGATATTCGAAATGAGACACAGATTCTGGAGCTTGAAAAATCGATTCTGCGTTTGTCAATGGCCAACTGGAAACGCTATCGACAGAAGACTGAAATAGTTGTGCAGGTTTATTGATAGCAACGTTATCTAGACAAGCTGCAATCATGTTCTGAATCATTAAAGATAATTGTGATCGTTGTACTGACTGTGTTTGTTCTCTTTGAATAATAAAATGTGAAGTGGAGTAGGGTGTAAACTTATCTACGCAAAGATCAATAGCCAGGAAAATGTCAGTGGTGCTTAGTCGAATCAATTCTGCACATTGTTCATAGTCAGTTCTGACTCCAGGAGGTTCAAGATTATATTTTATACGAGCTTCAGATGGACTAAAGTTATGTTTATTTTTATAAAGGAAAAAACTGCTGGGGAATTTTTTTTTACCTCCATGTATGCACATTAGGTTCAGTACCTCCTCCATAGTTAAGCAGGAAGTATTATTCGGTGAACTCATGTTGAATCTTCAGATACAGAGAAAAGCAAGTCAAACCAGACATATAAATGCATTTTATCTGTTCAATCTTAAAATATACACACGTGGCTTTTGCAAAAAAAAAAAAAAGTTTGATAATACCTAAAAATGAAGTGTGAAAGTTATAAGGGTATTCTATAATTGGCTTGAACAATAATGTTTAGTAATACTAAAAGGTCTTATTAACAATCAATTTAATGACTGTCTTATATTATATATTATTTACTAAATTATCATATTATTTGTACCAACCACTCACTAAAATGGAATTTATTGTTTACAAGGTTTTTTAAATGAACCGAAAAGAGATATTTAAAGCTAAGAATTATTAAAAAGAAAAATAAGCGAGAAATTATTTATATCGCCTGAGGAATCTTAGCATCTACAGTATTATCAATAAAAATTACATAGTGATAGCACAGCTAAAAAAAAAAAATAAAAAAAAATAAAAAGTTTTTAGATTTATCTATAATGCTAAACATTGGTTCGAAGATAATGTCTTATGGCTTTAACTCTAATCTTGGAAAAAATTTAGCAACAAATCTGATCGGAAAAATTTAGTGACAAGACATTATAACAAATTATACTAGCCAATCATTTGATATACATTGCATTTTTGTTACGAGTGATATTTCTTATTTTTCTACTTTTGTACAATTGTTACATCTGATAGATTGCCGATTTTTGCAAAACATAAATAATGCTATATATTTATTTAGATGTATATGCATTACATGATTTGTACGACTGGGAAAGTTCTTAATGTGTTGACATTCTTTTTGCACAATGTGCCAAAATAAGATATTTTACGTATGTGTGTAGCATAATAATGCTACATATTGATATGTATATGCAGGAATGATTTGTAAATCTGGGCACATTCTTTTTTGCCCATTGTACGAAATTAAGCAATAAGTTCTTTCTCCAATTGATGTTAGGTTTGCATGATAAAGCCATAGTTTTCCTAGTATAGCATTAAAATGCAAATAATACATCACTGCAAAAATAAAATAGAAATGCTTCTTTGTAATATGCATTAATTTAAAAAAAAAAACCACTATTTTTTTTTCGCTTATATTAAATTATAATTGAAGAATAAAAAATTTTAATAATTTCATAAATAATTTAATAATTTATTATATTCAACATTCTCAATAGAAACGATGCCGCACAATCAAAATTTTCACTGGTGAATCACACAAAATTAAATGCTAAAGTATATATATACATTTTTCACGCAAAGAAACTAAAAAATATCGAATACGTCTAATTGACTGAATGAAATAAAAACAATATAAAAATTAAAGTAATAATATTAAAAATACTTGAGATTTGAAGAAGTCAATGATCTTTTGGTCAGAAGAAACAAATATAGTATTCTATAAAGCATTATTAAAAGAGTAAAAACTTTAATAACAAAAATTATCTTTTTTTCTATTGTCTATCACACGATTCACAGATTGTGCATTGACAAAATTATTTATACCCATATAATATGCCTGCAGAATTTTTGCGTGACTATAACAATACTAATATTCACTTTATTGGATGAACACGTGCTCTTGATTGTCACGTATGCCGGATACTGGCACTGGGCATTTGCAGAATCAAATTTATATTACTAAGATAAATCTTTAGGTAATTCATATTTATTATTTGTTAATATTAGTAGTCCATATCGGTCATTGTAAGCATTTAATGCAAAATTATAACAATAAATATTACCGAAAACCAACTAAAAAGCGTGTTGCTCTATTTTGCGAAATGTAACCACCATAAAAGGTCGTATACAAGATCTCCATAATCAGACCCACCCACGTTCTTGATTTTTTTAAAATATGATTACAATAAAGTTACCATAAATATGATTATTATATAATTATTATATTACTGATATATAATAATGATATAATTATTATATTTTTAAATTAATAATATATTTATTATATATTTATTATATATTAATTATGTTATTAATATATAATAATTATATTTTATACATGCATTGAAAATAGAATTACAATATACTTGTAAAATTATTTAAATATTTTAAAAATTTTTAATATTTTTATTATATTATTGACTTAGATATATAGTAATACTTTGCAAAATTGAAAGATTCTGTAAAGCTTTGCTAAATATTTATTTTTTGGTTGAATAAAGAGACTCAGACTTGTTGTGACTTTTTACGGTAATTAAATTAATCTTGATAGGTTTATTTTTATTTTTACAAATGTCAATATTACGTAATTGTGGATATGTACTGTACGTGTGTATACAAAGAATAAATTAGTCTTTACTGTGTCGTTCTTTATTGATCAAGATGTTAGTAACGAAAAGAAACTATTGATAGTTAAACCTAAATTTTCAAGGCAATATTAGTATAAATTATTTTTGAGAGATCGGTTTCGGCCGATTGGCATTTAACCAATAGATATTTGTTCAATCACTTAACACATCTTAAAATGTGAAGGTTGGCGTTGTTTAATCATGCATTCATGTAACGTTTCACTTCGTTGCTAAGGACTTAAATTTTTATTTTATCATTTATGGATATGGTTACAAAAAAAAAAAAAATCAAATTGTAATAAGGTTCAAGGCCATAGATATGGGCTTAGCCAAATAGGCCGAAAGTTACACAATTATTTTGCATATTACCAAAATGGCTTGGCATACGAATTTGTAAAGATAGCGACACGAAAATTCAAAAGTACAAAGTAATTCGTTAATCCTTGAAGTAATTTGAAAATTAAATGAGAAACACTATTTTCTCCTTTTCTGTCACATACGTTTTGATTATCATTTATTCATCACATACTTAAAACTGTCACATACTTTTTGATTGATCTTTTATTTATCACATATTCAAAACTGTCACATACTTTTTGATTGATCTTTTAATTTCACATACTTAAAACTGTCACATACTTTTTGATTGATCTTTTATTTATCACATACTTAAAACTGTCACATACTTTTTGATTGATCTTTTATTTATCACATACTTAAATCTGTCACATAATTTTTGATTTATCTTTTATTTATCACATACTTAAAACTGTGAACAGTTTTCTTTAAATATATTCTAACTAATTATTTTACAGAAACCTGCAAAAAATTGCTGATATTTTTATTTTAGTTAATGTTTTTTTGCTTGATTATAAATTTATAATTAGTAAGTATAATATGATAAAAATGTTTTGGGTGTTATGAAACGTCATGTAAAAATATTTTTTTTTAAAAAAATTGATTTTTAAAATAATGCTTTTATAACACCCAAAGTATTGGTATTATATTACAATTGTTAGTAATTAATCTATTATTTATTTAGAATTAAAATAATTTTTTTTAAAATACAGTCAACTCTGTTTATAACGAACTGACGAGTCTTATAGTAAAAATTTTTAAAAGTTCGTTATATAGTAATTTACTATATTTTATATACCGAACTTATATTAAATTTGAAAAAAAAAGTTCATTATATAGTGTGTTCGTTATAAAAAGGTTCGTTATATCCAGAGTCGACTGTAACAGTTTATATTGCTATAAATTATATTATTATTTTAAATAAAAATAATAGCAACTCTTCACATTCTGTAAAGTACTATAAATTAATTGTTTTTATTAAATTATAACAAGGAGTTTATATTTAAAGTACAAAAAATTATTTTTATACTTTATGCTTCTGTTGGATTGGTCAAATAATTTATATGTATTACCGGCATATAGGCTACTATTAATAAAAATAAGGCAGATTGATATTTTTTAAAAAATTAATACTTTAATTTAATAACTCATATCTTGATAATTAAATATTTAAAAAAGGCTTAGATTATAAGCTTTTTTAACTATTGTAACGATTAAGAAAAGATCGATAATGCATTAGGCACAAATTAATGGATCAATTGCATAATTATTTGTATTGCATAATTAGTTTATTTAGCAGATATAGCAGATTTAGCGAGAGAAGCATACTAAGTAGATTTAGCATAAATAATAGAATTGATCGAAATAGCATAACTAGTATATATAGAATAACTAGCATAATTAGCGAATATAGCATATAGTGAAGATATGTAATTAGTATAAAAGTAGAGACATTTATTGAGTTGTAGGAGGTCTCACGAACGTCTTAATTAATAAACTGCATATTTGGCTCTGCCAAATCGAATGTCCTTTTTCAAGACATTATAGCATTATTGTCAAACATTATGCAAACCCTTTCCTGGTTTACCCTACCAAGTAGGAATTTTTAAGAAATACGGTTTTCCCAGCATTACACTATTAAATAATTAAGATAATCTTAAAATCTATCAAATTTGAGCTATAAAAGTTAAGAAATTAATTTTTTTAAAATATCATTTTGATTTATTTTTATTAACAGCGGCTCATATACGTATCAATAATTTACAATAATATGTATAGTAATTTATAATAATATAGTTTTTTAAAAAAAAATTATAAATAATATTTTTTAATTATTAACAAAAAATTATTGTTTAAAATATTTAAAATATAAATTATTTTAGTTGTTGGCATTGTTATAAAAAATTTTATTATTCAACAAAATTAATTAATCAGATTGACATATGATACAAATTCTGATTGATTATATATTTTTATGTCAAAGTAATTAATAAGCCCTAATTACTCTATTATTACTATATTTTTCTTTAATATTACTTTATTTTTCTTAATATTACTAATCTTTATACAGTATTTTTTTGATTTTTTTATTATTTTTTTTAATGTTAAAGGTGAGACCATGCTTTTATCTTTATTAGATTTAACAAAAACTTCCTACATAATCAAAAAAGGTTTTATATTTTAAATCTAAAACTAAGAAAAAGAACTTAGACATATATCTAAGTAAACCTAACACAGGTCAAAAGATGGCAAATCAGGCACAAATTAGGCACCCAATTTTAAACTGATTACTAACTAATTACTGCCTGATTTATGTATATTTTTGTACCAAATTT